CCTCCTCCTGCCCTCCTCCTTTCTCCCTCCTTCTCCCTCCTCCTCCCTCCTTTTTCCTCCTCCTCCTCTTGTCCCCCTTTCTCCTCCTCAACCTCCCGCCCCTTCTCTCCTCCTCCCCTCTCCTCTTTCCTCTTCCTTCTTCTCCAGCCTCCCTCTTCCTCCCTCCCTCTCTATTTTTCCCTCTCTTCTTCTTCCTCTCTCTTCCTCTTCTCTCATCCCCCTCCCTCCCTCCCTCCCTCTCTCCCTCTCTCTCGTAACTCCGACCGCCGGTAACACTACTCGATAATCACGGCAGTTAGAAAGTGAGTTTTCGGTCGACTTTCTACTTCCACGGGAATGCATAAAAATGACCAATGTAACGCAGAGACCATCCTGCAATCTGCGGAGTCCGCTCAGATTTGCAACGTTGCTCAATGCAGGAAGTGTTCCGGTCATGCACGCGATGTAATTAGTTGGTAGATGCCTGTCCCCGCGCCCGTCCAGCCTCCAGCGACGGGGGCGGGCGACAGGGGAACAAGGTCTAAATAAGTACACTGTAGACCTAGATGGGGAACAAGGGCTGGGCGGAGAAGCGGGAAATTCGAACACAGGTCGGAACCTCTCGAAGCTCTTGGTACCGATTGGTCAGAGGAGCGCTCTCCGTTTGTTTGATACCTGCCTTCTCGTTCGTTCTCTTTCTTCTTCTTTCTCCCCCACCCTCTTCCATCCCCACTTCTCTCTCTCTCTATCTATATATATCTCTCCTTACCCTCCTCGTCTCTCGTCTTTACCTTCTTTCCTTCTCTCCCTTTCAATCTTACCCCCTGCTATTTCCTCTCTCAGTCTCACCCTTGCCCCTTCCTCTCTCCCCTCTCCCTCTCCATTCCTCTCACCCCTCTCTCTCTTCCGTCTTCTCTCCCCTCTCCCTTTCCCGTCTTCTCTCCCATCTCCCTCTCCCTTCCTCTCTCACCTCTCTCCCTCTCCCTCCCCTCCCTTTTCTGCCCCCTCTCCTTCTCCCTTTTTCTCCGCCTCCTCTCTCTCTTTTTCTCGCCCCTCTCCCTCTCCCTTTTTCTCGCCCCTCTCCCTCTCCCTTTTTCTCGCCCCTCTCCCTCTCCCTTTTTCTCGCCCCTCTCCCTCTCCCTTCTTCTCACCCCTCCCCCTCTCCCTTCTTCTCACCCTTCTCCCTCTCCCTCTCCCTTCCTCTCACCCCTCTCCCTCTCCCTTTCTCTCACCCCTCTCCCTCTCCCTTCCTCTCACCCCTCTCATTCTCCCTTCCTCTCACCCCTCTCCATCTCCCTCCTCTCCCTCTCCCTCCCATTCCTCTCTCTCTCCCTCTCCAATCCTCTCTCCCTCTCTCTTTTCAGATGAATGCACAAAACGTGTCCCAAAAGGAGTTTGATCCCGAAGCGAAGGGGGTGGGGATGGAGGGGGTCGAGGGCATCGAGGGCGGCGCATGTGTTTAGTAAGACAACAGGTATGTGAGGGCGGTGTTGCCATGCACATGCTCATGCACTGATTTGGTGGAGGGAGGGGGGGGAGGGGGAGAGGGGAGAGGGGAGGGGAAGGCATTTAGGGCGGGGGAAGGAGAGACATAGGGAAAGGATTGGAAGAAGAGGGGGGGAAAGGAATGAAAGGGGAGGCGAGCGTGCCAACTCATGCCAACGTCACCCAGCCACGTTAGCGGTTCGGCTCCTAGCAACGCCGTGCATCTCATAGGGTCAGGATTCGTTAGGTTTGAATGGCGGGCGAGAGAGTTTTGTGGAAAAGAAATGGCGTCCGATTTTATATGCTTTTGTTGGTCTATCGATTGCTTTCCATTTCCCTTTCGTAGTCGTAGTCTCGTTGCAAGTCCAGCATTTCATCGTAGATTCTGAGGAGGAGACGAGATTATGATAGCAAATGTCTTTAAAGTTGATTAGCTCAAACTTTGGGTCCCCCTTGATGTCTGAAATTGTGGTTTAAACGCTGTAAATTCGATAGCAGTTGGCCCGGGTGGGAGAAAACGGGAGGTTTTTAAATAAATTAATTTTGCAAGGCAGTCACATTGATAAATATTTTGAAGTCGCCGCAGAAAACGATGACATTTAATGTTGAGATTTATTTATAATAATTGGTGTAACCACATGCAGGATGTTGCTTTTATTGCCATTGCAACAGCGGTTGTGCAATGAAGGGACGCGATTCTGGCGCCGCGCCGGAGGGGTGAGTGGGGCGCGCCGTTTCTTCCGCGGTGAATGTGCGAGGGAAGACCGGGGCTCGGCTCGGGATTGTGTGTCTGCTGCGAGCGCTTCGGGTTGAAGTTGCAACCAGAAGCGTCTTGTAGACTGGTGTTGATCTGTATGTATTTTTCACTAAAATATTTCTATTCTACAGGCAGAAATGACTTACTCTCACTTTTGAACACACTAGCACAGGAGCGCGCACTCTCAAACACAAACACACACCAACTCTAAAGATTCACACAATAAAAGAAATGGCCCATACCAGTTCATTTATACCCATTTTTCTATTTCTCCGCAGG